CCACTGGGCGGTGCCACACTAATCTGTGCAGATGGGAAGAAGTTCCCACTGGTGCCCGTGGGAGGCCCCGGAAGAGGAGCATTGTGTGGAGGTATGACATATATGGAGGATGGCCCAAAGCTGGGCACCACTTGGGGACCAGAGCCCATGGCTATGGCTGTACTGCCACTGGGCGGTGCCACACTAATCTGTGTAGATGGGAAGAAGTTCCCACTGGTGCCAGTGGGAGGCCCCAGAAGAAGAGCATTGTTGGGAGGTATGACGTATATAGAGGACAGCCCAAAGCTGGGCACCATGTGGGGACCAGAGCCCATGGCTATGGCTGTACTGCCACTGGGCGGTGCCACAATCATCTGTGTAGATGGAAAGAAGTTACCACTGGTGCCAGTGGGAGGCCCCAGAAGAAGAGCATTGTTGGGAGGTGTGACGTATATAGAGGACGGCCCAAAGCTGGGCACCATGTGGGGACCAGAGCCCATGGCTATGGCTGTACTGCCACTGGGCGGTGCCACAGTCATCTGTGGAAATGGGAAGAAGTTCCCACTGGTGCCAGTGGGAGGCCCTGGGAGAGGAGCATTGTGTGGGGGTGTGACGTATATAGAGGACGGCCCAAAGCTGGGCACCATGTGGGGACCAGAGCCCATGGCTGTGGCTGTACTGCCACTGGGCGATGCCACAGTCATCTGTGGAGATGGGAAGGAGTTCCCACTGGTGCCAGTGGGAGGCCCCGGAAGAGGAGCATTGTGTGGGGGTGTGACGTATATAGAGGACAGCCCAAAGCTGGGCACCACCTGGGGACCAGAGCCCATGGCTATGGCTGTGCTGCCAAGGGGCAGTGTCACAGTTGGCTGTGCAGAAGAGAGGGAGCTGCCACTGGTGTCACGGGCCAGAGGCCCAGAAAGGAGAGGATCAGGTGGAGGTGTGATGTCCATTGGAAGCTCTGTTCTGTTAGTGTCTGTGTGTACAGCAGAGGCTGTAGCTGTGGCTGGAGATGTCAGTGGGTTCCCAGAGCCCAGGAAGGGCTTCTCCTTTCTGTTCTTACTCTTCCCTGCAGGCACAGTGGATGGAGGTCCAGTCCCTGGGGCAGCCATGGGAGCAGAGCCCAAAGGCTCCATGCATTTGTTATCTTTGGGGGCCTTCTTTCTGTTCTTACCTTTCCCTGCTGAAATGGTGACTGGAGGAGCAGTCCCTGGGGCAGCCAGGGGAGCAGAGCTTAAAGGTTCCCTGCTTGTCTTCTCTTTGGGGGCCTTCTTTCTGTTCTTACCTTTCCCTGCTGGAATGGTGTCTGGAGGAGCAGTCCCTGGGGCAGCCAGGGGAGCAGAGCAGGAAGGCTCTGTGGGATCAAAGACCTCAGGGGCCTTCTCCCTTTTCTTCTTACCCTTCCCTGTTGGAATGGTGTCTGGAGGAGCTGTCCCTGGGGCAGCCAGGGGAGCAGAGCAGAAAAGCTGTGTGGGGTCCAAGACCTCAGGGGCCTTCTCCCTTTTGTTCTTTCCCTTCCCTGTTGGAATGGTGTCTGGAGGAGCTGTCCCTGGAGTAGCCAGGGAACCAGAGCAGAAAAGCTGTGTGGGGTCCAAGACCTCAGGGGCCTTCTCCCTTTTGTTCTTTCTCTTCCCTGTTGGAATGGTGTCTGGAGGAGCTGTCCCTGGAGTAGCCAGGGAACCAGAGCAGAAAAGCTGTGTGGGGTCCAAGACCTCAGGGGCCTTCTCCCTTTTCTTCTTACCCTTCCCTGTTGGAATGGTATCTGGAGGAGCTGTCCCTGGAGTAGCCAGGGGACCAGAGCAGAAAAGCCGTGTGTGGTCAAAGACCTCAGGGGCCTTCTCCCTTTTGTTCTTAACCTTCCCTGTTGGAATGGTATCTGGAGGAGCAGTCCCTGGAGTAGCCAGGGGACCAGAGCAGAAAAGCCGTGTGTGGTCAAAGACCTCAGGGGCCTTCTCCCTTTTGTTCTTACCCTTCCCTGTGGGAATGGTGTCTGGAGGAGCTGTCCCTGGAGTAGCCAGGGGAGCAGGGCAGAAAAGCCGTGTGTGGTCAAAGACCTCAGGGGCCTTCTCCCTTTTCTTCTTACCCTTCCCTGTTGGAATAGTGTCTGGAGGAGCAGTCCCTGGAGTAGCCAGGGGAGCAGAGCAGAAAAGCTGTGTGGGGTCCAAGACCTCAGGGGCCTTCTCCCTTTTCTTCTTACCCTTCCCTGTGGGAATGGTGTCTGGAGGAGCTGTCCCTGGAGTAGCCAGGGGAGCAGAGCAGAAAAGCCATGTGGGGTCAAAGACCTCAGGGACCTTCTCCCTTTTGTTCTTACCCTTCCCTGTGGGAATGGTGTGTGGAGGAGCTGTCCCTGGGACAGCCAGGGGAGCAGAGCAGGAAGGCTCTGTGACATCAAAGATCTTAGGGGCCCTTTCTGTTCTTAGGGCCCTCTTTCTGTTCTTACCTTTCCCTGCAGGGATCATGGGTGGATCAGTACCTGGCAGAGGCTGGGAAGCAGAGCAGGAAGGCTGAGGGCTACTGGTGAGGGTGGAGTCCTGCTGCTTTCTGTGGTTACTCTCCCCCGCAGAGATCAAGGGTTCAGGAGCAGTACCTGTGGCAGGCAGGGGAGGAGGGCAGACAGGCTGTGTGGTGCTGCTGATGTCTAGGGCCTGCAACTTACCCATCAGCCTGGCATTCACAAGCTGGAATGCTGCCTCCTTCTCCTGACCTATGTGCTCCGCGGTGATCTTATAGCTCAGTTCCAGAGGTGGTGGCAGCCTGAGGGGTGGCCCTTGGCGACGCCGCAGGAGAGGGATCTTTCTTCTTCCTAGGCCAGCACCCTCTGGTGTCATCTCGTGTTCCTTTCTGGTTTCTTCATGTCTGGATGGTGTGTCTGCCACCACCTGGTTCCCGGTCTTGCGGGGAACTTGGGGGGCCGAACACGGTTGCTGGAGGCTGTCCTGCCTGGCCGCCTTCAGATCTTTGGCGGAGCCCGGGGGCGGCCTGGGGTGCGAGTGGGCTGCAGCCCTCCTGCGCTGTCCTGGCAGCCCCCCTGTGGAGCTGTAGGAGCTGCTGATGGCATTTCGCTTGGTGGATCTCACACAGGAGGGCTGGGGGGAGGGGGCAGCTGGAGCTCTGGCCCTCTGCCTGCGGTGGTCTGTGCTCAGAGGCCCAGGCCTGGGGACATAAGGCACCTGGCCTCGCCGGCCTACCACGGGCCTGAAGGCGGACGGGGGCCTCGCAGCCTCCTGGGCGGCCCTCCTCTGCTGAGCCTCCTGCCTCAAGAGCCAAATGCCCGAGCAGTCCCTGCGGGAGGACCTACGGCTGCTGCTGCGGTGTGTCTGAAAATCGTCTGCGGGAAGCACTGGCCTCCCCAGAAGAGAGCCTACCTGTTGGCCCATGGGCCCCAAGGGCCGCAAGGGCCTCAAGGGCCTCAAGGGCCAAAAGGGCCTGCAGGTAGGGGAACAGTGCTCCGGGCACTCTTGCCCAGAGCACTGAGGTCAAGCCCGGGATGCCTGATGCCTGATGCCAGACGTCAGGACCGGATCCGCGGGCACACTGGCTAAGCGGGATGCGCCCACCCAGGGCTCTGGGCAGGTGCCGAGAGGGGCCCACAAAGGTGGGCCCTTGGGGCAAGTTCCTGCCCCCGCGGGCAGGGAGCAGGGCTGCGGGGCAAAGCTAGCCCCGCCGCACTGCTCCCCGGAACTATTGGGGAACGGGGGATACTTCTATCCCAGACCTTGGCAGAGCGCACTGCTTGGAGCAGCCAACTGCTCTGTGGCCTGAACCGCAATGCTTTGTTGCCAGGACGCGGCTTCGCAGCTCGAGACCAAAAACCGCCCCGCAGGCGGGTGCTAAGGCCCGCGTGCCCGCGTGCACAAACGGTCAAAAGCCGCGCGGCGCGTTTGCAACATTTTGTAACTTTCCCGGGAGGGCGGTCCCTCTGCCTCTCTGCAGCAAGATGGGGACAGGAGCCCGCGACCCTGAGGGATTGCCATTGCTTGCAAACAGGCTGCAGGTTTCCCGCCCTCCTACCCGGGCTGAGGGGGACAGCTAAGGGGAAATGAGCTGCTGCAGTCCCTTGAGGGCCCTGAGGCAGAGCCCTGGGGCTGTCACCTGTGGGCCCTGATCCTAGGAGGAGGGACTAGGGGAGCAGGGTTCCTGCCTGAGCCCCGCCTGGGACACTTGAAAGCTTTGGCATCAGGCTTTTGCATCTTCCTGCTCTTGCCCTGTGTGTGAACTGAAGAGGAGAGTAACCAGCATCAGATATCCAAACAGGCAGCATTCCTTTCCTCCTCTTGGATTCCTGAAGTTACACCCTGCCTGTTCCTGCCTTTTACCCTCAACCTGAAGAAAATCCCTTCGTGTGTTTCTGTAGCAAGCCTTCTAGTAACAGAATCTCTTGCGTTTTTCTCCCCTTCTCTAACCTTCCTGTTTATATTCATTTGGGCCCCAGAACTTACATCACAGGCACACAGTGCCTGGGGGGACCTTTTCTTTCGGCCCTGCAAGGTGTTCTCTCAGTCTCTTGTGGCTGGTGTGTTTTCCATGGGAAGTTTTAAATTGACATTTCCTTGTATTGGTCCTGTTATTTTCTCTGAGTATTTTGCAGAATTGTCTTTATGCTTGTGTATTGAGTTGAGCGTGTCTTGGGTGAGACTTTTCCCAGCATCTTAGATGTGTTTTCCATGAATTGTGACCTATCTCCTACTTTATCCTGTATCTCTCTTGTTCCTCAACTCCTCCTTTACCCACGAGGATGGTAAAATGTTAAAATGTTTTATGTTGCTTTGCATGTCTCTGAGACTCTTAACTGTTTTGTTCTTTTTTCTTTCTCTTTGCTTTTAGATTGGCATTTTAATGCCCCACAGAGTCTTGGACTCTTGTTCTTTTTCTGATGGAAGCTTATTTATTTCCATTAAATGAATTCCATTGATGTCATATTCCATTCATGTCAAGGGTATTGGCCTTTCCCTCTCTCTCTCTCTCTCTCTCTCTCTCTCTCTCTCTCTCTCTCTCTGTCTGTCTATGAGAATGGTTGTTTCTAGTGTTGTAGGGGAAACTGAGCCAACAGTAACCAGGAGCTCAGGAGAAGAAAGGAAATTTAGTGATCTCCAGGGGAGTCATCCTCAAAGTCTGAGGGGGTGATTGCATAGAGCTTGTCTTTTCTATAGAGTGGCAAACACAGGTTGCAGGGGACAGTTGCAAGCTTTTAGCTGAAGGTTGTGGTACAATGGCTATCTTGTGGTGAACATAGTTGTGTGTAGCAAAGTTGTCACCACGTTCCCAGGGCTTTCAGTTGGATGAAATCATATGATTTAGCTGAGTTCCGTGGCTGAGAACAGAATGGCTTTACCTTTGCTTAACAAAGTGTCTACAGTTTGATCAGGCTTTCTGCTTTCATGGTAGGTGTTTTCCATGATCCTTCCTTTAAGTGGGTTGTTTCAGGGCTGGATATTGCCCTTTCCCTTGAGGATTGGTCAGATGGTCTCAATTTTCTATATGTACTATTGCTTAGTTTTGGATAGTGCCCTGGACAGTTTGCTGGTTGATTTAGGAGACTCTGGTTCCTATCCTCAGGCAAGCAATGGTTTCTCTTGTTCTGTTGTTCTGCAAAGCTGTCAAGGCAGCAGGATCAGACCGCATCCTGCATTTGCTTTGCAGTGTCCAGGTTGTGCTCAGGCCACAGTGCCCCACCCCCAGCCCCGGTGGTCTACTGGATGCCTGGTGGTTGATAGCTCAGTCGCTTTCCAAAGCCTTTGCCTTGCTTCTTTGGAACTATTCTGTGCAAGCCGCTCAGTGTGAGTCTAGACCTTGTGCTGGCTCTTACACAGACTTCAGTGATTTCTTTCTGCAGCTCTCTCCTCTTTAAAATGCCATTTACATTTTCCTGCCACAAGAAGAGAACTTCCCCAGGGCAGGTCAACCCTCAGGCCATCAGCAACAGGAATAGAGTACAAACATAGTGGCAATTTTCCTCATTCTCTTCATACAGCAGAAGTCACTGCCTGTTCCTTTGTGGGCACAGGTCATCTGTTGGGGCTTTAGGTCCCTCTGCCTCTCTTGAGACTGCTGGACAACTTTGCAACCGGTGAGGAAAAAAACGCACAAAAGTGGGATGGGGATGACTCTTTAAGCCTCAGACGCACCCCCAGCCCCGAGGAGAAGTCCACACTTCTCTGGATACAAACAAGGATTGGGGTCCAGTATTTATTCTTTCAGTGATTACTGGAATTTACTTTCCCTAGACAAAGCTGGAAGACACAGAAGGAGAAACTCAACATGGAACAGCCCATTATGGGCTGTTGTTCTCCTTTGGATGCCAGTCCCCATTTGCCTGGTACTGCGTGCTTGCAGCATTTTGAAGTACAGTACATGCTTTCTGCCTGTGTCTGGTTCCAGTTGTCATTTGTGCAGGAGAGAAGTTATCTGGGACTTCCCATCTTTCCCTAACAAAGTTCTATGGCTACTAAATTAATTTGAAAGAAATGTACTTGCATTGTTACCTATGATAGAGTTCCCTTCTTTTTAGTGGCAGAATACTTTTGAATTGTAGGAATCGTATGGCCTGGTTTTTATCCATTGCAATAGTAATGTTTATATTGCTTCTACATCTTGTTTGTTATGGAAAGTGTTGCTGTGAACATGGGAGCGCAGATGGTTTCACTCCTGGTTTCTGTTGTTTTGCAGAAGAACCCAGAAAGGTGAAGTAGAGCAATCACAGAAGGACACATACTACACAATTTTCTTTATATGAGATGCTTAAAATATAGCAACCTTTCAAGGAGGCAGTAGAATGGTGATTTCCAGGGTCTGAGAATGAGGGGAATGTGCGTTGCTGGGCTTTTGGTATCGAAGGTGTATGAATTCTGTACTTCTGTTACAACAGTGTGCCTATAGGTAATAAAATTGTAATAATGTGTGTAGAAATTTTGTAGAAGTGCAGATTTCACATTGTCTATCATAATGAAAAGCAGCGTTAGGCAGTTTTGACTGACAACCAAAGATTTAAGGCTATAAAATTGAAGGATTGATTCACTGAATAAATATCAAAGTCTATAATCAGGCAATTTCCAAGAAATGAAAGCTAGAATTATTTCACAACAAAGGAATTTAATGAGTATCTCACAAAATATGTGCATATAAGTGCACATGAGAGATGTGTATATCTATTTTACTATAATCCTAGTATATTGAGATGTTCTAACTTTCCTATAAAACTAAAGTCGCCTGGTTTGTAATTTTGTTTATTGTTCTATAATTTTGTGAGTGGAGGTATTATTGGTAATAAACCAGGAAACAGTCGTGGTTTTTGATGCAGCCTTCCTTGCTATTTCCTTTAGGTGTTTCATTCCTTGACTTAAAGAAACTGAACAGTAGAAGAAAGAACACTGGGTGGCAGATGGGGCCACAATGAAGTACAGGAGGAGGTGTCCCTGCGAGGTCAGCATCAGCCCCAGATCACCCTACGGGCCGCTCTTGGTATGAAATCCGCTTGAATTAGTGATAGGTTTCACTCATGGGGAGCCTGCCAGACCTCACGTGGTGCCTGCCCAACCTGGTGCTGGACCCTAACATGACAGCGTGTCCCTCTAATATTGATTTCTGTGTTCTTCCTCCGAGCTCCAGTTGACCTTTTTGCTTTTCCTGCATGTGCCAGCATCTCCACCATCAGCTGTCAGTAGGTCTTTCTGCCCGCCTCTTCACACACCATCCCCTGTCAAACCTAATCAAAGCCCCATGGCTTCTTTGTCTGCCTCAGAGGGATCTTGCATTCTTTGGCAGCTCTCCCATGCCCACTGATAAGGCCTTTTTTCTTTTCTGCCTTTGTTTTTCTGCTGAGCCAAAAAGCCCCAACAATTAACATGCTCAGTTTTGGAAAAATAACAAGTCTCATCCAGTGCAGGTGAATGCAGTCAAGAACATTGTTTTCATTGCACAGCATTAGTGCTTAAGGAGTGTGAGCAAGGCAGAAGAATATGGTGCATGATATAGTGTCTCTCCCTCCTCTTGATATAGAAATAGAAATGAAAGGGCCAGGGATTTAGCTCAGTGGCATGAGTGCCTGCGTGGCAAGCATGAGGCTGTGAGTTCCATCTCCAGTACCAAAAATAAATACAATAAAAAGCAAGAAAGAAAAGGAATAGAAATTCAGTGAACGTGGCTTTTTTCACTTAGTAATGGACCTGTTTTTGGTAGTCATGGAGTTTTCAGTCCCTCCGTGCCTCCTTATCTTGATCTGTCCTGCCTCAGCTCAGCATGTAACACTTCATTTGTAGTAGTCACGAAGTAATGAGTGAAGGAGGTATAGAAATAAATGAAGGGGATCGTGTAACACATGGTCATTTCTTTCATTTTTATTCATAGAAAGAATGAACTCTAAGACACAAGAAAGGTGATGTGAAACATTGTCTGACAATCAGTGAAAACAGTGGTGTGGATTCTTGGGTAAGTGCATTTTGAAGTTTCTAGAGGAAATAAAAACTACATTTTCGATTTCAATCAGTTAGAATGCTCTTGAATTTCTTTAAAAAATTCATTTAAAATGGGGACCATTTTGCCATATTTCTGTCTATGTACTAGAGTTAGTCATATACAAGCGGAATTAATGTTTCTTTTGTAATCTTATATGCAATAAGATTAACCAATATGATCATTTAACAGCATGGGGATTTGTTTGTTTGTTTGTTTTTTGGTGGTGGGGATCAAACTTCTGACCTCTTGCTTTCCAGGTAGGCACTTATGCCATGAGCTAAATCCAAAGCCCTGGTCTGGGGCCCTGGTCTGGGATTTAGCTCAGCAGTGTTAAGTGCCTGCCTGGAAAGTGTGAGGTCATGAGTTTGATTCCCAGTAGCCAAAAAAAAGTCAGCACACTTGAAAATCACTTCTTTAATCATTTTTAATTTGATTTTACATTTGTTGTGTGGGTGTGGGAGTAGGGAACCATTGGCTCAGTTGTGATCATGTGACATTCAGTGTCAGGTACTACTGGTATTGCAAGACATCACCTTTATAAAGTTAAATTTTATTAGAAATGCTTGCTTGTCTTGCAAAACACTTGCACAACAAGTTACTCACAATCTAAGCATTTTTAACTCAGATTGTTCACAAGCATCTGCAGTATCAGTTTTTTCTTTTCTTCTTCTTCCTCTTCTTATTCTTCTTACCCGATCTCCTCCTCCTTCTCTTTCTTTGTTTCCTCACCCCCCCCAGTGCTTCCCCCGCTTCTTCTTTATTTGGTTGCCAGTTTCTTAAATACACGCTATGTGTACCTTATTGTGGAGCTTTTTAAAAAATTGTTCACATACAAACTTGATACAAATGTAGTTTATAGAAAACCATCTGCAAACCTGAAATGAAAATAGTACACTTACTATACATATATTAAACTGATAAATTGTTAGGAATCATTTTAATTTAATGCATCATTTGACAGTGAAATAGTAGGTGGTTTAATTTTTTTTCATCTGGTACTTATTTTAGAGGTGCAGATTGGCACACAGCAAAGGACTTTAACACCACAGTAAAAGTAATAAAGTTTAACTAACTGTTAATTAGCACATGAACTATTGCATCGAAGAACGAGAAAGTACGGAAGTTACCAGATCGGAAGAGCTTGGATTCCTCTTCTAAATAACTATAAAACATTTGCTTACAATGCTGGCATATATGCAAATGTAAGTACATCTTCCAAGCCATCACTGCCAAATCCGAGTTCAGTTTTTAACTCTTGTTTTCCTGCTTTCACAGGGAGCCCTTTTAAAACCTCCAAAACTCTCATTAAGATCCTTTCAAAGGTGTCTCCTCCTACACTGTCCTTTGCTTATCACTGTTAAGCTTGAAGAAAAAACCCGGTCTCCATCCCAAGAATTTTTGAGTCTTCCAGCTTTGCCCTGGAGGAGCAGAGAAGGGCGCTCAGCTAGGGATGAATCATTCCAGGTAGTTCAAGCTATGAACGGGGCGCAGCCTCCCGCCCCTCCCTGACATCTCCCTGAATGTTCTGTCCCACCCTGGGCAGTTGTGCTAGTTCTCATCCTGGAGAATCAGGTGGTGCTGCTGCCCCTGGTGGTGATGGAAGGTTAAGTGTATAAACAGTTCAAACAGCCATTTGTTGTTCTTCCTTTCCTGTGTACAGAAGAAGATTGCACCCAGGGGCGACTACCACTGAAGTACATCCCCCACTCCTTTTTCTTTTTATTTAACTTTCCCAGAGGAGCCTGAACTTGTGATCCTCAAGGCTTAACTTCCTTAGTGCTGGGATTACAGGTGCACAGCACACCTCAAGTAAAGGGCTTATTTTGGCTCACTGTTGTGGAGGTTACAGTCTGTGACTGCTTGACCCCAGGGCTTTTGGGCCAATGTTGAAGCCCCACATGATGGGAGGGTGTGACATGAGAATCACAAGTTCAAGGCCAGGCTGGTGGACTTCATGACTTTGTGGAACCCTGTCTCAAACTCCAAATAAAAAAAGGCTGGGGATGTAGTTCAGTGGAAAGCCCCTCAGTTCAATACCCTGTACCTCAATCCATCAACTAAACAACTATTAAAAAAGACTTCAGTGTCGGTGTCACTCCCGGCCGGCAGGAAGGACACACAACAAAGTCTGGCAGTGGACAACCTTTTCTTTTATTTTCCTTCTCCGTACAGCCTGCCCCGGGAATCCTCCCGGCCGAAGCCTCTGTTGGTCCGCTCCCCGCGGCTCCTTGCGTGCTTCTCCCTACAGTCTGTCCCGAAGCCTCTACCGGTCCACTCTCCGCAGCTCCTTGCGTGCTTCTTCCTACAGTCTGTCCCAAAGCCTCTACCGGTCCGCTCTCCGCGGCTCCTTGCGTGCTTCTTCCTACAGTCTGTCCCGAAGCCTCTACCGGTCCGCTCTCCGCGGCTCCTTGCGTGCTTCTTCTGCTTCTTTTTTCATGGTGGGAGAGGCACTCACTTTTATAGGGTTACAGTGGCCAATCAGTTCAAAGCGCGCGATGCGGGCTGATTGGCTAACATCAGTTGTTGCTAGGCAGACTATCTTACAGGGCGGGTTGTGAAGCAGGAGATCTTACAGGGCGGATTGTTTACCAAGCAGGAAGCAGGAGATCTTACAGGGCAGGTTGTTTACCAAGCAGGAAGCAGGAGATAAGCGCCATCTTAGCACACTCGATGGGAGGGGTAATCTAGCTCAGGCTTTGCTCTTTCTTACAGGCCTCATGTCCGCCAAGTAAGGCGACCGGGCCTGGCCGCGGCTCCCAACATCTCCCCCTTTTTTATTTTTTATGAATGTGCGCATCGTAGCCCTTCCTGGACTGGGTGCAGAGGCTTATGCCCTATGCGTAGGCCCACCGTAGGTCCTTGGCTTAGACCCTGGTCGGCCATCCCATGGTCTGCCAAGGCCCTGAGGCCCTCGTCCTTTTTCTAGGGCCAGGCACAAACTGGACGGAACCTGGATGCACACAAGCTTGCACTCATTTCCTCTCCGTAAAGAAATCCCCTCGGAGAGAAATTTAGACCTGGGCAGCATCTAACAGTCCAGCGGCTTACATGCAGGATGGGGTAGGGCCTGGCTTAGGTTGAGTCGCACCGGGGGAGTACGCTCTTACCCGTCATTGACTCTCCTACCCAGCTATGTCATAATTTTTTAGAGGAGGAGTGTGGGAAGCTCACCGCCCCTAGACTCGGTCGTAGGCTAGGCGAGCGAGCCATGCATATGCCTGAGGATCTTTTTGTCCATTTTGGGCTACCACTATTTCTATTCATCTTGTTGGTTGGTCTGTGATGGATCTCCGGTAGGGCAGGTCTGATCTTCAGTCGAGGGCTTTGTTGCCCGTGTCAGTCTCTCCGGTACCCACAGTGGTTCTCGTCCCGGTTCCTGTGGGAAAACACAAACCGCGCCTCGGCTCCAGCTGATTACCGGATCCGGGCCCATCCATTGTCCTGTTAGGACATCTTTCCATTTAACCCACCCTTTATGGTTGGGGGAAGGGTTGCAGTGCTCCATAGCTGGGGAGCAATTATCATTATTTAAATTTAAAAAATTGTGTGTGAATAGTGCCATGGATAATCGTGCCTTTGGGGCCAGGCCTTGGCCTACTCCCCCTTTTTGTTTTTGTAAAATTTCTTTGAGGCTTCTATGAGCCCTCTCAATGATTCCTTGACCTTGGGGATTGTATGGGATACCATGTTTTAATTGTCTGCCATTGATCTTAAGCAAAAGCATGGGCCTCTTGTCAAGAGTCATGTGGAGTCCCTCAAAAATCTCCCCGGAGGAGCCAAAGCCTTGATCTCCTCTGGTCTTTTGCTTAGACTGGAACCTCTTATGGAGGCTGGGGAGCAGCAGGAGCTGCGCCATCCTGTCCCCTTCACTGATTACCATAGTACCTACAAGAGTTTGGACCATAATTTTAACATTGCCTGTATAATCTGAGTCTATGACCCCAGGGATCACCGTAAGACCCCGGAGGGCTGTAGAGGACCTTCCAATTACCAAGCCAACCGTGTCTTTAGGCAGCGGCCCCTTAAATGTGGTCTCAACCACCTGAACACCCATATCGGGCGTCAATATGAGTCTGGAGGCGACACAGAGGTCCACGCCTGCTGACCCAGGGGTAGCCCTTGTGGAAGGCTGCCACCCTGTGTTGTCCTGTCTCGGGGGTGGGGGCCCGCCGGCGAGGAGGGCCCCCTCTGGCCGTTTTTTGGCTCGTTAACATCTCGGCCACAAATACGATTTCCCTGAGCGTCATAAACTGACCTGCAATCCTCTGCCTTATGTGGACCCTTTCTGCATCGCCCACAGACGTTATACGATCCTTCATTTTTAAGGCGAGGCTTGGCGTCTGCACTATTTGGGCAGTTGCGTTTAATGTGTCCTGGGTCCCCGCAGCTGAAGCACCCCTTGGCTTTATGTTCCTCTCTAGGCCCGCGAGGTCCCCTTTGTTGCACTGCCGCAGCCAGAAGAGCTGCAACTCCCGAATTAGAAAGCGGCCCCCCTATTTCTCTGCATATTCTGATCCAGGCGTTAAGATCCTTATTCTTATGTGGGGCTATTGCTGCCTTACATTCCTTCGTGCATTGTTCGAAAATCAACTGCCTAACCAGCGGTTGAGCCACTTCCCTATCGGAAAAGATCTTATCGGCGGCATCTTGCATCTGAGCCACAAAATCAACGAATGGCTCTGTTGTGCCCTGGACTATTTTAGAAAGGCACAAGGATGCCGTTCCGGCACCACTCACCTGCTTCCAGGCGCGAAGCCCAATGGTATTGATCTGCTCATAAACTGCACCAGGGAACTGAGTCTGATCATCAGCGTGTTGGCCTTCCCCCATAAGCATGTCTCTATTCCATCCCTGGTTCCCTCGGTTAGCGTTTCTTTCCGCCTGTTCGGCAGCGAACTCGGCGTACCAGGCTCGCCAATCCAGGTAACTACCCGAGGGCAGACACGCCTTTGCCAGCTGAGTCCAGTCTGCGGGGGTGAGGGGCCCAGAAGACAGGTTCTCCAGCATGGCAATGGTGTAAGGCGCAGTCGGCCCAAAGGTTGTAACTGCATTTTTAAGTTCTCTAATCTGCTTTATTTCAAAGGGTTCCCACACATTACGTCCCTGACCCATGGCCATCTGTACAGGATATATCCCATAGGGGCCGCTATCTATCCCTGGGAACGGGTGGTCTTCATTAGACACACGACCCCCACGCCACAGCTGTTTGTGGAAATAACGTCCCGCCGGTGGCGGAGCATCGTAAGATGGCGGCCGTGGCTGAACAGAAAATGGCGGCCTGTGCGTTATTTCCTGTACTGACGGAAGAGGGGGGAGTTCCCATGCGGCGGCCTCGCGGCGAGGGACCGCTTCCGGGAACGAGTTCCAGGGCGGAGCGGAAGGTTCTGTCTCCCTCCCCTGCCAGGGGGCGCTCAGAAGCTCTCTGCTTTTTCGTAAGCCTAGCTGAGCGGAGCGCAATTCGCGGCGCAACGCAGCGAAAGAGCCTTGCGTCTCCCCATCAAGCGACTTAGGCCCCTGACAGCTGGTCTCTTGGGCCTCCTCACCATTCAACCTTCCCTCGTCCTCGGAGTCAGACGACTCCGAGGCTTGAGCCCCGTCCTCCTCCTTAGCATCTTTGTTCCCCTTGACGGACCCCTCTCGGGAGCTCCCTGACTGGGCCTGCTCAAATACCCTGCGTACTTTTGTAAGCTCTTGAGAGCTTTCCCCGCAACCACCCTCACTCTTAGTGCCGCTACCTAGCATGTTTCCCATTTTTTAATATGTTACTCACCGCATGAGGCCCAAGGAATCCGCCACTTACGCGTGAGCCTGAGAGGAGTCTACAAACCCTGTAGGTGCGCGCCACCCAGGGCCCAGGTTTATCCTCTACTCACCTGTCTTGCAGCTCTGCGTTGGAGCGTTGTCCACTGCCACGTCTCGGGGGTGATCAGTCCCCGTACGGGCCACCAGATGTCGGTGTCACTCCCGGCCGGCAGGAAGGACACACAACAAAGTCTGGCAGTGGACAACCTTTTCTTTTATTTTCCTTCTCCGTACAGCCTGCCCCGGGAATCCTCCCGGCCGAAGCCTCTGTTGGTCCGTTCCCCGCGGCTCCTTGCGTGCTTCTCCCTACAGTCTGTCCCGAAGCCTCTACCG